TTCAATCTATCCGCTCTTCTGTGCTCCAATGCTCTCGCCAGATGTTTTATAGATGGGAAGGCATGGCTGCATCCACAAACTGCTCGCCACCTGAACTATTATGCTACATTGCGAATATACCTTGCTCAGCATGTTTATCCAAAGAGAAGCCTGTGGATCATACGACCAATGTGGCGTAACGCATGCTCCGGCGAAAAATTGACATGACGCGTGCGCATGCTGGAGAGGGCGCGTGCGCGATCGACCGCACGTTGGCTTTTTCGCTTGTTTTCACGCCATATCTCTGGAACGCAGTCGTTTCAGGAAAATCGCCACATTAATATCCATCTCCTCGTTGTTCACAACCAGTTAGTGCCACTCATTGGCCGCCTCGTTGCCTGTAGTGCGAGAACTCGCGCAGAAAGACAGACCCGACCAAGTACAGTAACCCTCGCTGCACATGCCGACGGTTAAATATTATGAAAGTCATGGACTCCACTGCATAAACACTGTCACACAACTCCCTCCACAACAGTGCAATAGCACTGCTCTGCCTACATTCTCTGGTATCATCAACAGTGCTCCTCCTCCACACTGCTGGGGCCTATCACACACAAACACAAGGCAACTCTGCTGCCCGAAACTTGTCGCAAGTTGCGATGAAATTTGCTGAAGGTTTCGTTGGGGCGCGAGGGATCGGTGACCCATGTTTAAGTTCCTCGTGAACCGTACACAAATGACTGGTAATAGTCTACCTGGACGAGTTCCTGGAGCTCTCTCTTGACCTCCTCCAGTCCCCCGATGTCTTCCCAGGACACTGTGGGTATCTCCACTATCGTCTCCCTCAGGGCACTCGGGTTACTCTGACCCATCGCATACTGTACGATCGCCAGGAGAGATTTTCATTAGAAATGTACAACATACATGTACATCACACAACGTGTATATGTGTATATGCATGTAAGAAGGCTACAGCGATGCATGCAGGAGCAACCAATACACTAGTGTGTAAAACTCATTCTAAATGCCACTGTTTTCATTTCACTTCCATTCACACTGTCTGGTGTACTGGGTTATTCTGTGCATTAGCTACAGCAGTTTATATACACATAGGACTCACTCTGAAGTTGTCCATGGTGACAGCCAGAGAGTCCATGACCTCAGCATCGATAGTGTCATCCTCCAGATCTATGAGATCCATCTTCTCCCTGATCTATAGAGAGGAGGAGAGGCAGAGGAGGGGACTGAATTTATTGGGAGCTCATTGCTGGTATACTGTGTTCAATATTCACCTAACTAGATTGACAAAGCTCTAGTGAACCCAAAATTCTTTCTGCTCATGTCATACACAGTGGACTTGCCAACTCAATACTTTTCTGAAGGGAAGCTCTGACTTTCCCCATTCCTATATTGGCCTCTTGACCACATTCCTTTCATGCATCAGTATTCATGTGGGCATTAATTAGAAACACAACAGCAGTCTGTTAATCTGAGCGTCGGATATTGTGGTTTGGATACGATTGGTGTGCTGGGTACACATGTACCTGTTGTAGAGCGGCCTCGGAGCAGAGAGAGGCAACGTCAGACCCAACATGGCCGTGGGACTCAGCTGCCACCTGCTCCAGGTCCACGTCATCATGTAGCTTCATGTTCTTGGTGTGGATCCTCAGGATCTCCAGTCGACCTACATGTACATACATACAAATAGTGAGAGTTGGTAGAATAGAGTAGGAGAGGTAATGGTGGTTTGTGAGTTTCATCTTACAAACTAAACATTGGCAAGCAAGAAGAAAATGCATATGACCACATAGAAAGGCCGTTATAGAGATGGTCATTGCATACATTAAGTAACCCCGGACAAATTAACCAATCTCAGCCAGTTATGCTAACATGCATGTGTTGCACATTCTCGTGTTGCGACAGTGCACACAGCAACAAACCATGTCATTCTCATGTTGTCCCTGCCTAGCTACTGAGTTTCCCAGGTAGCACCGTGGGTAGAGTATCGTGTGTTCGAATCCCAACCCAGAGCAGCTTTTTTTTAATAGGAGAGTTGTCTTATGTGAAGTCGTGGTTTGTCTTGGCTTTGCCGTGCGACCTCATTTCCGTTGAGGTATTTCATATAAAGTGTGCAATCTCAACGCTTGCACACAACGAAAAATAATTGTTTATGTCAAAGTAACCACTAGGTAGGGGACAGTGCTGCTGACATGTATACGTATAAGAAAAATCTGACCACTAAAATAAGCTTGCTTTGGCTATACCTGTGGCGTCAGGGATGCCAATGTCGACCTCCCTGTCGAATCGACCGAACCTCCTGAGAGCAGGGTCGATACTGTTGGGTCTGTTGGTGGCGGCCATCACTACGACGTGGGCCCTCTGCTTCAGTCCGTCCATCAGGGTCAGGAGCTGGGACACTATACGACGCTCCACCTCTCCGTGAGTCTGTATGGACGTAACACACAGCAATCCCAGGAGGTGGCACACTGAATGAAGAGGTAACATTAAACCTCCTCTGTACTTCAAGCATGATGAGTCTATGCATGCAGTTTGAAGATTTATCCTTATGCCTTATGCAGGCCACCACCACATTGTATTCTAGCTGTATATATACATACAATAAGTAATGTACTGTACCTTGTCTCGTTTTGGAGCTATTGCATCAAGCTCATCAATGAAGATGATTGCAGGAGCGTTCTTCTCTGCCTCTTCAAATGCTGCAAAAAGACAAGCTCACTTTGTGCCACCCCAATTTCTGCAGGAGGGCCCAAAAAGCTGTCCAGATAGTGTGCGTGTAGGCTGCCATAATCCAGCAAGAAGTTGCACACAGCTCGTGCTGGAACCAAGAGGCATGCCTGTGGTATATTCTCTACCTCCAGTGGTAGTGTGCACGTGGCATGGCACAATACGCCAGCATGTGTACATACATGTACTGGACCACAGAGGAAGTATTGTAATAGTACTGTAGAATAACCTACAGTTACATCTCACATGCAGTGCACACTTCTCATGTATTGGTAGTTTGTAGAAACGGTTTCCACGGATACAACACTTTCAGTTAAACACGCCTGAAAATTGCGGAGCACACACACACGTACGTTCACCTGCGAAAACTACTAAAATGGAGTCCTGAAGCAGGATAACTGTGTGTATCATAATTACTGCCTGTTACCTCTGAGTATTAGGGAGACTGACCTTTGCGGAGGTTGCTCTCAGATTCTCCAGCCATCTTACTCATGATCTCAGGACCTACACATGTACAACACACATAGTAACATCATGCATGTATGGACACCCCATCAAGTATGTACATAATTACCTTACTCCATAAAAACACTAAACAAGAAGTCTTGTAGAAAGAAAAAGATATGAAACAGAAAAGGGGGCTATATATAGAAACTGTCACTAAACACGAAAACCTAGTTGCATTCTTGCACTGGGGCCCCATTGTTTAGTTCTATCTTTAGTAACATTTCTAAATTTAGTCCTTATGTTCTGACAGATTCCCTTTAACTATGTACACATACCCCCTCAGGTACTGTAAGCTAATTGAGGGGAGTCTAACCATTGATGAGGAAGAAGAAAGCTCCGGTCTCGTTCGCTACGGCCCTAGCGATGAGGGTCTTCCCAGTGCCTGGAGGGCCGTAGAGGAGTATACCCCGGGGTGGTTTTACTCCGATGGCCTTGAACAGCTGAGGATGACGCAGCGGAAGCTCCACCATCTACAACATCCAGGATCCATATTACGACAAGGGAAAGATACAAAGATACAACACAGCAGTTTCGGTACACATACAAGCGAGTGTCAGTTTATGATTAAGCCCCTTTCAGGGGAGGGGGAGGGGCAAAATCATTTTCAGGAAATTGTCTCCCTTGTCCCCCTCCCCAAAACCCCTGGTGCACGTTCCCACCTCCTTGATCTGGGCCAGTTGCTTCCTGCATCCTCCGACGTCATCGTAACCGACTTCATTGAGGGACTCCTCCTCGTCTTCTCTCTTGATTGGTTCTCCCTCGCAGTGGATGACGGTGTCGGGGGCGACGATGCAGTGGGGGCTGGGGTCCGTCTCAACTACCTTGAACTCCACCTGTCGCATTCCTCCCCTCACCAGTAGAATGTCCCCTGTGAACAACACACGTAGCACCACGTGGTACATTTTACACGGTATAGTTTAACTGCCCAGCATTAGTTGACTATTATAGAAGTAGTCGCAAGTTGTGGTCTGGCACGGTTCATGTACAACACATGCAACCCATGTGGTTTTCCCTTCTGCAACCAAACACACTTACACCATTCAGTAGTGCTACTCAATATATCCGGACATAATTACATACGTAGTATGTATGTACACACACACACACACACACACACACACACACACACATTCTGGTGCCCCCACCTTTATGCACAGGGCGATAAGCCTCCAGGAAGTAAGGCTTTAGAAACACATCAAACAGATTCCTGAAGAGGGACACAGAAGCAAGACAGCGGTACGTATTGTAGGAAGTGTTGCACTGATGTGACTCACCCTGTAATGCCCTCCACGCTGTCATCAATAGGCAGGACATGTACTCTCTTGCCGTATTTGACGTCAGGAAAAGCTGTCACACTATGGAATTACACCAATCGAAAACAGAGAGCATGCTTTCATTCGATTCCTGTAGCTAATGGTTATGTAAATAAACTCAGTCAACCTGAGAACATGCAGGGTTGGAAGCGTAGATAAATCTCGAACAGCTCCTTTTAGAGTTCTACCGCTGAAACACATAAAACTCTCACCTGACCACATCTCCGAGGCGTACTCGCAGGTTCTGGCGCACGACTCTGTTCATCCGTATCTTCTCGTTGGCAACTGTGTCGTCACTCAACACAATACACACCTGGACACAAACACACAACGCCTCATCGTTAACCAGGCAACTCAACCTCACATCTCATCAGGAATAAAAAGGGGTTAAGTTCTCGAAATTCCCCCCAAAAATTATTTCGGACTCCTGGTGTTGCGTTGCATATTAACTTCTTGAAGAAAGCCAACGTTTAGCAAACAAAACACATGCAAACCTACTCATGTAACCTGGAAACAACGGCATATGGATTATGGAAAACTGTCAATAATGAAAGATGACCTCAGGCGATATGGGGTTGGCAGAGGTGTACAGGTATGGGTAAACCAACACAACAAGAAGAGAGTATACCATGTTTGTACATTGGCTGTCTACTCAACAAAGCCTCCACACATACTCCACTGGGTAAATGACTAGCTGAGAGGCTTGACCATCACTACTCACCGTTTCCTTCCTCCTCTTCCCCTTCAAGAGAACAGTGTCTCCCCGAAACAGCTGCAACTCATCCATCTTCTCCTGGGACAGAGCCACCACAGAGTTATCGTCATTCACTGCCTCCTCCACCAGCAGACGGTTCGGCTTCGACTTGGTCCGCAGAATGGCCGTTGCCAGGTCGTCCCTACAAGGCGAGTTCTATTTAGTGCTCACCACACCAGTATACAACCGCAACAACTGGAATACTAGTAAGTACACCGTCTCTCCGCTGCCAACTGAAATATCCCACGTACATTATTTAAAACACTGCTAAAGTACCATTCTTTCTTTATAAAGAGCTATCTCTCTTTTTTACAGTCCAACTACGAAGTGGTGGTTGGCCTAGCAACTCACTGAGGGTCAGGTTCCTTTATCTCCGCCATGATATGCGCTCCTGAATCTAAAACTGCCTTATCTCGTAGGCTGCAAGCAAAGAACAAGTCCTGGACACGCACAGAGCTAAAAAGAGTCAGTGCCTAGTTGTGGAGTAAAGAGTGCCGGCCGGCTGTAACCCACGAGTGTGTTACGATGGGAGTTACGTAATATCTAAATTTAGAACACGGCCTTTTGGCCACGCCCAAAAGACAACCCCTCCCCCACACACAGCGACCTCTAGAAAGGGATTCAGGAGAGTTTGTAGCAGTATGGCTCGGAATCTCTGAAGCAAAAGGACCCCACAACGAAAGAGGCAAGATCTCGATCTTCCACCGTAACAGAGAGTGAAACCGATCTCTGCATCGACCCCACCGCGAGACTCCAAATTTAGGTGAGACACCGTAGGATAGCTACTCTAGCTAGCTGTATTAGCAAAACTGAGGTTGTATTGTTGGCTTCTGCATGTGCTGTATGCTTGTGCAAGCTTTTTGTGGCGAGAACTGTCTTCCCATGCTTTTGCAGAGCAGCAAGTGAAGTGCTTCCTCTCCTTCGTCAGCTGATAGCTAATGATGGCAGCACTGACTTCTCCATCCACTGCACCATCGACCTCACTGATGGCTGATTCCAAATGTGAAACCACCTCACCACAACACCACGTCCTCTCTGCACTCTCCACACCTCCACCTCCACCTGCACCGAGTCACACCCTCCCCACCACACCCCACCACCATCGTCAGAGCTCCCCGGTCCCCATCAGGGACCCCTCCCTCTCCCCGCAGAGGTTCCGCAGGGTGTGGACGGACGGGGACGAGAGAGAGGTGGCGTCAGCATCCCCGGTAAAGGACCTCGCTGAGGAAGAATGGCGCTACCACCATGCCCCCAGCTCTCCGCTACTAACGGCCGTGCGGGAAGCTGTAGATTCCATCAACCAGTACGAGGACTTTGAAGTTCTTGAGAAGATCGGTGCCGGGTTCTTTGCTGATGTTTTTAAGGTGAGTATGACGTGGGTTTGAGGGCAGCTTTTTCGCCAGCAGTCCTGGGTGTTGCTGATTTGTTTACTGTGCACGTGTGTGTGATACATCCATACCTGAATGTGTTTGTAAGGTGTCAAACATGGATCACCTATCGTTACCGCATGTGTGCAATAGAGGACATGCACAATTGAACTCCCTCACATATGTACATATATGTGTTATAATTATCATACTGAGCATATTATGAGGTGCTTCATTTGTAAGAGTTCAGTATGCAAACAACCTTACACCTTTTAAGCATGCTGTGAATCTGTGTGTGGTGCATTTTTCAGGTCTTAGCACCTCTTGACTCACTAACAGTCGAATTCCTTATGCGTACAACACAGTCTGCGGGCTAGGGATCCAGACAACGTCGTGATTGGTGTAAATGTCTGCAAATAGCAATGGATTGCATTACAGACACAGAAACTTTGTTGCACATAATATTTACCAGTTTACATTTTATGTGTGACAGATGCATTGATTCATAACCTCTGAACAGTTTTCTTATTAGTGTGCACATGTCATGTAAGGTTTGCGGGGTTTGCCTCCTTCACACCTCCAAAGAAAATGTTGAAAATAAACATTGAAAGTGAACATGAAGTGAATCTGTCTCTGCTAGCCATATGTATGTCTGTTGCACCAACATATTTTTAAAAAAATTTAGTGTCAGCCCTAAAAGTTAAAGTTAAAAGCTATAGCTATGGAGATTTGTAAGTGTTTAAAATTACCTATGTTCTGATTGAGATGTGGACATACACTGTAGTTGAAATGAAAATTATTTCTCACTGCCTGTACTGTAGTTTGTTGAGGCAAAAGCCTGATTTTGAACCCTTTGAGGACAATTACATTTGCACACTCTCAACGGGTGATCCAGTGAAAAGTTGTGTGTGAGTGCAAAACCCTGGTCTTCTTGTCCAGCACGCAGCCTTGAGCCACATCCTTTAGCATTAGCACATGGACTGTCACAATTCCTGGAGTCGACCCTTTGTCTATTAGCTCCATTATCAGCCGCTGCCAGGCAGTGTACATTTTACAGTGAAGGTCCACCTTTTGAGGATTGTAACTGTGTATACTGTAGTTACCACTGCTGCTTACAGCTGCTTACAGGTTATCTTGTTGTTGTTGGTATTATTCCTAGCTAGCAGATGGCACCTGGATACACTTCCTCCATGTCTAAATGCTGTAATCACTGTCATAACTGCAGAGTTCAGGAATGTTATTGGCCACTGTTTGTCCCCTGTATGTAGCCCGTTGAGGATGTGCTATATGTCGTACATAATATTACAATTCTGCCTTCAAAGTTGACGGTGCATTCCGTTCATTCTTCTTGGCTTGCGTAGTTTCCGCGTTCCATCTCACTGCCAACTCACACGCACACGCACACCAGCCAATAAATAATGGGGTTAACCCCTTATCAGGCTATAAAGAGTACAGTTTGAGTGATGTGTGGTACATGGCCCACTAGGCTCCTTTTATGTCTTGTGTCTAATGTACACACGTGCCCACGCTCAGGTACGTCACATACCAACAGACCAAGTGATGGTGCTAAAGCTAAACAAGAGAATGACGGGAATGAAGAAGCTCAAGGAGGTGGAGCTGCTCAAGAAACTCCATCATCCCAATATCTTACGGTACGAATATGTGTGGTACACAGACCGCATTGCATCTCTCCTCACTTACCCACAATAAGAAAATACACAATAATGGCCCGCAAGACTATGGTACTATGTATATATAGGTCCTGCTTGTGTTTTGCTCTAGCCAGTATCTCACCAGTAATAGGCGACATGCTGCATAATTAGGTGCTGTTCCGGTCCATGTTTAACTAATGTTATAGGAGCACGTACTGTACATGCCTCCTTACCAGCATAATAACCTACTCCTTCCAGTGCACAACTTACTAATTTCTCTCGGTGTGTGAAGCTCTCTACTAGTATTTGGAAAAACAATGAAGTACTGGTATGATACCTCTCTCTCCCTTCAGTTACTATGGGGCCTGTGTACACAACGGTCAGCTACACCCTCTGACTGAGGTAGGTATATAACTAGGTGGCCACTTCTCTGGCAGATGTATGGAAGTAAGACCCGTTTATTTAGTGTGCCAGCCTACATAAACACCCCTCATGCATACTCAGCAATGAGGAAATCCCTGTAATCACCTATTGTACATGTTTCCTCCACCTTGTCAGGGATAATAGAGCTTCCACAGTCAAGATACTTTGAGGGTTGTTAGGTTCGTGGGTATATATTACCTATGATTTTGAGGTACAGTGTTTCCCCCACATAACATGTGCACATACGTAGGAGCACCTGCTTCATGGAAAACCACATCGTAGAAACCAACAAAAATACAACATTTAATAAGTAGTAGCCTTTTCCTTAATATCCCCAGACATTTGACTATACTACTTTCATGTCGGTTCCCCCTCTCCCAACACACACACTGATGTGGTTATTATACGTATGCAGTACATGAATGGAGGGGCACTGGAGGAGCTGATACAGGAACTAGCAGTGCCCCTGCCCATGGCTCTGAGACTCAAGTTGGCTCTGGACATAGCTCGCGGCATGGACTATCTCCACCATCACGGAATGCTCCACAGGGACCTTAACTCCAAGAACTGCCTCCTCAAGAAACACACAGACTGCTACACCGCCGTTGTGGCCGACTTCGGACTGGCTGCTAAGATCCCTCGCGTCATAAGGTCTGCTAATGAACAGGGTTCTTCTCTTGATTGCCAGTGTTGCTTGCGTAATAAGTTCTTAAAGCCTCTATAGGCATAGAATTAGGCTCTGTAATCCGTAGCAGGTCTATGTCTATTGTACTGTAGTTCACCAATACCTTTGGAGGTGTGGCACCCGTGATTCATATGTACCACGCACTAAACCTTATAACGCGGTTCAATTTACGCGATTCAGTCGCAAAAAGACAAAAATAACTGCAAAACTCACAAATAACAACACAACAGAACCCGTAAACTCACTCTTACATGTCTTTGACCTGCACAAAACTCACATCCTTGTATATAGTTGATTTCAAGATGTGTGTGTGTTATGTATATTATACTACGATGCTCTATGATGTAGGACTCTTCAGCGGACGCAGTCAGTGGTGGGAAGTCCATTCTGGATGGCCCCTGAGGTCCTCAATGGAAAGTCTTACGATGAGAAGGCTGACGTGTTCTCGTTCGGTATCATACTGTGTGAGCTCATCTCTCGTCTGGAGTCTGACCCTGACGAATTACCTCGTCGAAAGGTATACCAGCTTGCAAGCTACGAAAATAATATATTATGGCTCAGTGTGTATAACGATGTATAATGTACTCACCTTAAAAAGATTTAGAAAATAGAAGGATCATCCGTACTGTGACATTCACACTTTGTTGTAATAGTGAGTCAAATACAGCAATGTCCCTCATCTCACTGTCATCTCACCACCAGGACTATGGACTGGATGAGGTGAAGTTCCGAGCCCTACCCAGTGTAGTGGAGAGCAGACCCTCCGAAGCCTTCCTCTCCCTTGCCTTCCACTGTTGCCAGGTATGACAACTGTCTGTGTATATACAAGTGGAAAAATCTTTTCTTCAAAATGAAGGGGTGATATATGGCTTGAAGCACCAAAAAGGAAGAAACAAGGGGTCATTACACAGCAAAGATGCACAAGGCTACATGACACCATCCCTATATCTTTGACTCATATTAAACTTTACTTGAGAACAATAATACAAAGATATAGGGATGGTGTCATGTAGCCTTGTGCATCTTTGCTGTGTAATGACCCCTTGTTTCTTCCTTTTTGGTGCTTCAAGCCATCCCTATATCCCCCTTCATTTTGAAGAAATGATTTTTCCACTTGTTTTCACTATTTTTCATGCCTTATGACAACACTGCATTTTCAGTCACTCTTATGTTCATGGGGATAACTGTTGAAAGCAGAAGCTAATGGGCTGCTCCTACCTGAAGCAGGGTGTATGCGTAGTGTCTCCAACAACGATGGTGGCACATATGGTGGGGTGGTTTCATAGGCAGGCTTCAGTAATCAGACTACAATGATAGCTATAACCCTTGGGACAAACAATGAAGGCTAGTAATGCGCGCGCATTGCATTGGTTGGGGAAACGCCCTCCTCGGCGCATGCGGCTCACTGATGCTGAGTTAGCAGAAAATGGCGTTGTCCAATGACTACCGTGGAAGAGCTCAACGGTCTACCGTAGTGACTTGCGGCAAGAAACAAGCGATCGCTTGACATGCGTGCACACCTCCGGAAAATTTAGAGACGTTCTGTGAAAAAATCAACGCTTCAACTGCTTCCGGTAAGGAGCTAGCGGGTCTGAAGAAGAAGAAGAAAGAAGATGAAGAATATGATGATGTGACACGAAAATCGCGAAATCGCGTAAGAGCGAATTCTCTTGTGGAGAACTGAGGGCACGTAGGAAGTCTTGGGGCATATGTATAGCTAGATATTGGCCTCTAGACTATTGCTAGTGATTTTGAAGCCATGGTGAGTCATTCTCGCTGAGTTTTGAGGCGTTTTGTACGCGGATCACGTGAGATTTCACTCATCTCATCCCTATATAGCTAGAGCGTCTAGCTACCGACGCTCTGATATAGTCATGCTTTGACCCTGAAGCTTTGCACAGAAGTGTATGAACATTCTACACATTTTGAACAGCTTCTTAACAACAGCTTTTAAACAACAATCGTAATACTGTTGTTTTAGGCCTGGGAAAACATGTGAAAGCATGTGTTTTGCTGAATGAAGAACATTGCTCCATATGCTGCAGTGACCCTAAAAATTTCAAATATTCCAATCTTATACCAGCTTCCGGTATATATACCTCGAGGCACATGATATCTTTGCTACCAATGTCTGTTATAGCGTGCTCTGCACACGGTGTTGTTTTCATCCTTGGCTCCTACCCCACATTCATGATTATAGGAACATACTTATGATGGCTATACGTGCACTTGATATAGTGGTAAAGTATTACATCATTACAAGGTGACCACGTTCATGTAATCCCCTCTGGCTATAATGTGATAAAAACATTCACAGTTCATTTTGCTGATCTCTCCCACAATGTTCAGATACTGCCAGTGGAGAGGCCAGACTTCTCGGAGCTGAGAGAGAAGCTGGAGATAGAGTTGACCACCCAGCCCATTCTCCTTCCCTCCTGCTACAGCCAGGAGGACAGCCCCCCTCACAACAGACTTGGCTCCCACCACCACAATCACCTCCTCCTCCACAATCTAGACCACTCAGCTAGACATTCCCCCCTATAGTGTGTGGTGTTTCTGTGACCCTTTTTTTGATATTATGCATAATTATACACAAAGTACATTCGCTAAATGAAAAGCACTTGAAAGTGCATAATCCTCGCCACTTTATTCAGCAGCCAATGGCTACTTGCCACACTACCTCAGTATTTTGCACATGCGTGTTCAATACTAGTTATATACTACAGCAAAGTGAAAAGTACATAACCCTCACCACATTCTTTATTAGCTACACTACATAAGTGACTCCTTCGTGCTGCTCTCACTTCACCGGCAATCTCGATCCTACTCAACTGTACAATCAATACAGGCAGACCAGCAAATCTTCTCCACACGCGCAAAGCACTACCATCTAAGCTAAGTAGAGCGACGGTTCGCGCGATCTCTATTTGACGCACACTCACCTCGACAGCTACCCGTTTTACCAGCTTCCCTGGCCTTCTCCGCTGCAGAATCTTATTTTACCATGCATGCCTCCTGTTTTTAGCTCAACAACGAGGGTTAGTAAACGTTCTCTGCAGAATTGTAGCATAGAGAATAGGATATGCATGACGGAATATCTTGCGCATGCGCGAACAGATTGTGAGTGATCGGAAGGTGGTGTATGTATAATATACATAGTTTTTGTCAAGTGCACATTCATGCACTACAATATTGACACTAAGAGTTTGTTTCACTTGATAAACACAATGTCCTAAGCACTAAGCAGCTGTTTTTACGTAACTAACAGGTTTGTTACATTGAGCTCTGATGTACAAGCTTCTCAGTCGGGTTCAGTGAACCTGTATTGACATAGGATTTGTCCCGATCCTTAAACAGAAAAAAGAGCTTAAACACGGCCAGAATGATGAACATGAATGTAGCAATGGAGCAAAGCGCCTTGAGGGAGAGAAAGAGAAAGGGAAGTGTTTATTATCAGTTTCTCACAAAATTATGAAGACTCACAGAACTAGCAGTCATGGCATTTATAATCTTTTCCGGGTCATCCTCGTTAACAAACATCACATTAACCAAAGCCAAATACCATTTTGTAGAATTGCTGTGGGTGGTCAACATGACACCAGCCAAATAATGACCCGCAGCCAGCACGAAACTGATCACAATATCCTGAAAGTGAATGTAAAACAGTTGAGTGTGTTACAAAGGGAGCTATAGCTTACAAAGACAACGAAGATTTTGAAGAGAAAGCTTTCACGACTAAAAAACCACAATCGAAAAGGAATGAACAGCAGTTGAGTGATTACTCCCAGACAAGTTACACCAATTGCCAAACCTGCAAAAAATTTACTCACCAGAACTAAACACGCAAGAATTGACGGTAATGAGAGACTAACCTGTGGCCATGTAAACGTTGTTGCGGAGCTGCGCCGCACGTCGATTGTGGTCTTCAGTAACATCGTCAATTTTTACTTTATCTCCATAATCATCGTAATCATAATAATCATAGTCTCGCTATATGAAAAAAATGAGGGCTCTGTTCAATGATAAATAGGAACTACATTGCTTGCAAAGATTCATGCTGGATTTTCCCGTAGAACTCAATTCGCAAATATTCGCCAACAAGTGATACTTCCACGCTTTCTTCCCAGACCCTGTATGCATAAGTGTAGGTGGGACTAACTAGACGGATGGGTACGTTCGTCAGGAGACCAAGGGCCACCGCTGATGCTATCAGCGCTGGAAGAGATCCCAACTACAAATAGATCAGGGAGAGAAATAAGCAAGAATTAGTACATCGCTACAAGAGAGTAGTTACACACGGATTTTGTATATATACCAGCAAAGTTAAGAAGCGAATGACGATCTCTACTCCTATTGTGATGTGTTTTCCCATTGTAACTAGCTATCTGCAATCGTATTCGTACAAAACTCAATTCCAGGCTATATTATAGGAAACAAACTCGCACAATTGTGAAATTTGACCCGGTAGAGGCAGGCGGCATTGAACCACCCACGCATCTGCAGAAGTAGTCGGCACACCTCTTAGGGTGCCGTTAGGCGCTATGGCGCCGAAAATGGCGTCATCATAAAATGACAGAGAGTCGAGGAGGCAGGTCGGACATGCGCAGGGATTGCGTCATTGTAAATGACATTTATGCTGACACAGCAATTTCTTTCCCGTAAAGAATGTATGGGGAGATAAAAGAGCGTGCTGTAGCAAAACCAAGCGGGATTCGGAGAGGATTTGCAACTGACTCGATGTAATATGTAAGAAAGATACTGAAAATCCTATTATCCCCAGCGATCCCCTACCGCTCGGCAAGATATAGTGAAGAATACTAATAACTCTGCCACACTCACAGCGTGAGCCCTAGAGCTAAGCTAAATGCACAGTACCTTACTTTGATCCTTTTTACAACTCTCCGTGTGGTTTCAAGCGAATGCTCCGTCTGTTTTGTCAAAAAACTAAGCATAGGTCGAGCAAGTCGTCGAAGGTCGTGCATTCCTCAACGCGCTAATTGAAATTCTTGTACTTGGTGCGGCGCCAAGCTAGTATCTGACACCAATACATTGTCTCCATCGTTTCTACCCCTGGCTTTCATCTACCCTTTCAAAAAAAAGCAAAAAGGTCCGGATTTAGTGAGACATGTCATAAATATCTCAGCAGGCTGCAAGGCAGGCACAGAGGCTATGCGGTAGGTGACGTACGCGCATACCATGTTGTAACTGCCAATTGATGGATGGGCCCGCATGCGCGCCGAGGGTTAACGATGCAGCGATCGGACTTTCCGCGGGGATTCCCGGCATTGTACAACCTGATAGTGCAGAGACTCGGCAGCAGCGCAGCATCATGGCGTAAGTTCCAGCTGTTCATGAAAAAGAATTATATAGGATCTTTATTCCCCCACACAGATCACTTACAACCGACCCAAAGTATCAGTGCAGCATTTGCCTCGACACCTTGCGGGACGCGCACCTGACCGAATGCTGCGGCCAACACTACTGCAACGCCTGCCTCGTTCAGTGGGATGAGAACAACAGGCAGCGGCTCGGGCGAAAAACCTGTCCGCAGTGTCGCACGGAGAACTTCAAACACATCGAGAACAAGTCACTAATGCGGGAAATCCACTCACAGAACGCTCGAGTCAACCCCTCCAAATCCACCACCCTAGACACCTATGATGCCAGTCATAAATACTCGTGTGTCAAGTGTAAGATAGAGCCCCTGGTTGATCCTTGTCTCACTGAATGCTGCGGCCAGCACATCTGCCAGCCCTGCCTCACTGGTTGGCTGCAGGCCCACCGACCAAGGAAAGTGTGTCCACACTGCAGACAAGAGAACTTTGCTCACATTCTCAACAAGTCACTGAGACGCGAGATCGACGAGGCATACACCAGGTGTATCCACTTCAAAGACGGCTGTTTGTGGAGAGGACGTTGCGAGTGTCTGAGCCAACACCTTAGCCCTATGTCCCCCGATAGCTGTGATTACGCAGAGTCCACATGTCCATTCAAAATGTGCTACAAGACAATCAGGCGTGCAGACTACGAGCGACACCTAAAGCTGTGCAAGTATCGACGCGAGAGATGCACTTACTGCGGGCTAGATGTCTCCCACAATGCCGTGAATCTTCACCACGACGAGTGCCCTGAAGTACTCATCATATGTCCCAACCACTGTAGTAACACTGAGATGAGACGCAAGGATTTGAAAGAGCACTTGAACAACACTTGTCCACTTGAAACTGTGGACTGTCAGTATAGGTATGCTGGTTGTACCGAGAGATTGGCACGTAAAGACATGGACTGCCACGTTTTAGCAAACGCAGAGAAACACATGGTACTGCTACACCAACACAACCAGAAGTTACAAGAAACAATTAGGGACCTTGATGAAAGGAACAAACACCTACAGAAGTGGAACAGAGAACTTACGACAAGACTGCTGTGCATGCAGTAAAGTAGATTGTAGAACCGAAATCTGGCCATTGTGGTGCCAATCCAAACAAGGCCACTCTATAGTAATAACGTGGACGATCCCCAAATGATGATGTCATCATGAAATCTGCCATACCAGTTAAATGAACCAAACAACTACTACAGGTATAACAGTATGGTAGTTTGTACATGATTGCTGTACATAAGTTATGATATTAGTGGTCACTGAGGGCATGGACAGTGGCTGGGGACGGCATCATGTCTTTCTCCTGGAGTGTGAGGATGAGGCAAGGGATGAGGCGGGGGAGGGGACCTGGGAGGATGTGTAGGATGAGGCTGGGGATGGGACGTAATCCGTCGCTGCATACTGCTGCAATGGGTGTTAGACAGGGGAGAAGACGTTAGAGAAAGAGTACTAAACACTGTTCTTAATTTTGATCCTTGTACAATGAGCAGAGCATCATGGGGTAAATGACACTCCCCATTATTAATATTTACACACTGTGGGTCTGTGTTACAGGTGGACTCTATGAGCTGTTGATGCATCGTGCAGGAAGTTTGTCTTACAATTTCACTCTCGTCATTGTCGGATTCCACTATCATCGGGTGCTTCCTCGGTCTCCCTGGGCCTTTCCTCTTTCGTCCCTGCCACAGAAACACAACAACATTCATGCAGTAGATCTGCAAATAACACGCTTCTCTATCCCGCGTCACGCTCTGTAATAAGTCAAACAGAGCACGTTGCAGCTGCTCAAGCAGTTGAAAACTGACACATTTGCACTGGGGAGAGTAGACAGACACCCACAGGAGAATACTATATATCAGCAGTACTGAGAGCATTATATACCCACAATGTTCGTCTGCTTACCTTGCCTCTATCTGGTCGAATACCCTTTAGCTTTGGAGTGGATCGAGGTGTGGACACTAGAGTGTGAACAATGAGATTATTCAACTACCCCAAAAGGACTTAATTAATGTAGTAGGTATGAGACTATAGAATGTACACAATCAAGTTGTTGTTGCTGTACTAGGGCCGAATCAACTCTCTCCACAGCAACATAAAACAATGGAGAGCATTTACCTCATACCCTAGTTAGACACGTTACACCTTACCATCTGAAGTATCTGACACATATCCCTCTCCCTGTTGAAAATCGAGAGGAATGAGCATTATAGTAAGAGAGAGACAGATAGACCACACCTCTCTCTGTTGTTCATCGTCACTCTCCCCACAGTCGACTGCTCCACTCTCCACCTGGGCCTTGGCCTCCATAAATGCCCTCTCCAGCTCCTACACAACAGCACACCACCGTACAGTATCAAGGATGTGGCAGTGATAACTGACTACAAATTAAGGATTGCTGGGATTATCTTACGTGAGGGAAGAGTGTTCCCAGCTTAAAAAAGAAAGACTCTAGCTGTTGTTCACAAATGTCAGTGATGGGAATTGTATATACCACACACTGTAGGTCCATGGCAGAGTACTGTGTTATATAGGTAATAGACAAGGGCTGGCTACAGTTTATACCTGAGAGTCGAGGTAGATCTGAGAGCCCTCCTGGTTGTAGGTACGAGCATTCCTACACAGCAGTAGGACGTCCTCCTGCATGTCTGCTATACCACGGTACTTGCCCTTCTGGATACGCTCCTACAGACACCACCCAATGACCATCAACAAAATATCATGCAGCGATTCTTTTCCCCACAATACACTGTACATTATTATTATACAGTCCCATATTGATTTGGGGAAGGTGCGGGGGGCACTGATTTTTGGCGGGCGAGTGAAATCAGGAGTTAAATTTTCAGGCATATTATATTAATGGTATGTGCAGTGCCTGTCTCATATTAATAATCCTGCGTTCAGATGACTAGGTAGGCTCGCTCTGCTCATCAACAAGAGACCATGTTTGCAAACCATGTGTACACACTGTTGGAAGTTGCGTCTCTCTAATCCCCTTTGAACCTTGATTTTCTTGAAGTCGATGGGTTTGCGGATGATCTGGTAGTACTCGGGGAGCTCCTTGCGGGTGGGCAGGACCATGAATATCCCGGTGATCTGTCGACCGGTGCAGTCTCTGTGGTCCACAGTCATCTCCCACAACTTGGCCAACATACGGGTCATTTTCGCCGATAGCAGGGCAGCCCCTGCTCGTCCCGTCTTCTTACGCTGTCAGCAGAGGGTGCAAGACACAAAGTATGAGTATATTCGGAAATAATGATCCAGTAGCAAACAATAATTAGACAATACTTTCTCTTATCTGTTCTGCTGTACAAGTAGCCCTGAACGAAAAAGCTTTGTGCATAATTTCTTACGGACGCTCCAAAAAATTTTTTTTTATTAAGAAAGAGGACACACGCATAGAACACATTGAGCCATCATAATGAGTAGAGATGCAGACCTTAGCAGGAGGAGTAGTATCATCAGGGTCGTTGGTCTTTCTCTTCCTCCTCCTATGTTTCTTGGCCTCTGTCTCGTCCAGGGTGCCATCTTCCACCGCCTGGAGTAGTGGTGAGGATTCAGAGATATGAAAGATCCGACGGTCACACATTGATTTTCACCATCACCCAACAACCAAGACTATCTATACACACGTGGTACAGTAATACACAGAATGTGGTTGACTGTGAAGTGGAAAGGGGTCTTATGAACCACAGTGTGTTCACATGTATGAAGATCATGAATCAAACATGTTAGATCTCAGTAGCAGATTGGTACTCACACGAGATGGATTCTAGTGTCTTGCGCTCTCGAGCATGTGCATATTATATTAACTTTGTGTGTAGTGGGTGGATGTGGTGGTGGCTCTTTCTCTTTATGGCTAGTGTGCCATGCACATCATTGAAGCATTACGCTACATGTACTACAGTCGATGACCTTGAGCCATTCTCTCTCGGTGAGCATCTCAGAATAGTCCACAGTCTTTCTGGCCCTTGACCCCCGGCCAAACAGCCGTCCCTCATTGGCCTCGTACTCTAGCTGGTCCATCTGACCAGAGACAGATAGAGTAATACAGTGACGCAGGGGAGGAAGAGAAAGAGGGTAGGGTATAGGGGGGAGGAGAAACAACAGTCAGGTATAGCAATATGAAAGTGACACTACAAGCGGGATTTCTCAAATGTATAGGCATAGTAATAGAAAACCAGTGTCATTCCTATGGTAAATTTCAACAAGTTCTGCAGGGCATACAACACACGTACAATACAACTGAGACCAGTCTCAACGATCATAACATCAAATTGATGCATGCCACAAAATGCAAATTATCCACCATATCCACATGTGTATCAGACACACCTCTTCCTCTCCCTTGAGCAGCCACGAAGGCAGCTCCTCCTCTGAGATGAGCCGAGGTTTGTGACGAAGATTGGGGTCCATGGCATCTCTGCTGCACCGCTCCATGTCCATGCGCTGTATACAGCAACACAAGTAAGGCTAGGTTCACAATACAGTCACGTTGCCCTGTCGCACCCGCAACGTTGCTGCATTGCGAGGATAGAACCCATTTCTATCTCCGTAGTATGGTGCGACAGGGCAATGCGACATATTTTGAACCTGGACGGTAAAATTTTGCTGCACCAATTTTAAATTTATGCAGGTATCAACAAAATCACTTAACACAAGTAATAGAGAAACTCACAGTGAATAATTGGATCTCTTCTTCATTTCGAGCTATCATGTCGTTAAGCTGCTCATCATCAGGGACCTCCGCCTCTTCCTATAATGCATCAAATCAGAGTTCAGGTTCCCCAGAAAATCCACGTGAACTCTGACCTCTTCCTCGATGGCCTCCTCCTCCAGGAGGGCCTCAAGAAAAGCCTTCCTCTCACTGGTGGTGGACTTCTGATCAAACATCCCTGCCTGGATCACCTGCAACAACAACACCTCCAACCTCACATTTGAACGATCATGAGAGGCATCGCTACCGCTGCAGTACATTAGTGTGCATTCAAGTAAGGCCTTATTGTAAAGTCACCATGCTTCCTGCATCTACTGCGTTATGTGGTATACTAACTGGATTGTAAAGCGACAGTAAAAAAATAATACCAGTACTTTCCGTAAGGTACTGTATCTGACTTGTCACTAATAGCAAGTGAATTGTTTTTGGGGTTCCTCCACGGTGTAAGATGGGTCTAACTTGGCTGCACTATACTACAGGGGTAACCACCAATATATATAGAGGGTGTGTGTGTGTGTGTGTGAGTGTATTTCCTAACCTTTTCGTCGACGTTGAGTTTGTACCTGGCAGCTGCCAGTATCTTCTCCTCCACACTGTTGACAGTACACAGCCTCAGAACCCTCACCTCGCTCGTTTGGCCGATACGGTGAGCCCTGTCTTGGGCCTGCATGTCCTGTGGGAACACAGAGTGTCATACAGATAACATCACGGAAACTCGGGACAAACACAATAAGGAATATTTCCTGAAAAAAATAGGGTGGCGAAACTTTCGTACTTTTACTAAGTAACTGGGGAAAAGAACAGTCCAACAAACAATCCTTAATACCTTCACTATAGCTGAAGAATGCAGTGAATTATTGTGTAAATTGGGTGGCCTAAACTTTTCGTACTTTTAGCAAGCAAGTGGGGGAAGGAACAGTCCAACCAACAATACTATATCCCTTCACAGTGGCTGAAGAACGCAGTAAATTAAATTGAGTGGCCTAAACTTTTCGTACTTTTAGCAAGGAGGTGGGAAGAAAGACAGACCAACCAACCATCCTAAAAATCTTGAGTATAGCTGGAGTGTGCAGTGCAAATAACCTTTTGTACTTTTAGCAAGAAAGTGGGGAGAAGGTGGGGGGCCAACCCAACATCTCGATTACTCAAAATCTACACGTACACAACAACTGTATACAAACACTGCTTGTCCTCCCACCTGATGAGGATTCCAGTCAGAGTCAAAGATGATGACAGTGTCGGCCACCTGCAGGTTCAGACCCAGACCCCCGGCCCTGGTGCTGAGGAGGAAGAAGTAGTAGGGAGAGTCTGGGGCAGTGAACATCTCCAGCAGCTCCTTCCTCTCGTCTGCCTTTGTCCCTCCGTCCAGACGAAGGTAGGCCAGGTCTAGGGAAATGAGGAGTAAACAGGTCAACAAACACAATCCTTCTCGTCGACGTTGAGTTTGTTGGGAAAGAGAAAGTCGGCTTAAATGCTTAATCTGGACAAATCATGCACAATGGGTACATAATTCTCATTACCCCTAGTCTTGAGCATATCATCCTAGTGAAATAAAACACTAAAGTGCAAACCCTCAGCACACTGGGGATGCACAGTACGCAAATTGATGGGTAGTACATACACTGTAAATTGTTGCATTGGAGAGTGTAAACATACACTCTCCAATGATAATACACATGTATTAGGGCAATCCGAACACGTTATGTTGAGATACTTCTTACAGAACCATACAAACATTATTGGCCATGGCCATGCAGTAAAATATATAACTGAATTCTATCACTACTTCAACTTATCCATGGATTGTTTCATGCGGTGTTAAGCAAAACTAAAGGTTGAAAAAAAGAGATAATGTGGGTTGAAAAAAGAGATAATGTGAGTTATCTCTTTTTCACAACAACAACCATACAAACATTATTGGCCATGGCCATGCAGTAAAATATATAACTGAATGCTATCACTACTTCAACTTATCCATGGATTGTTTCATGCGGTGTTAAGCAAAAACTAAAGGTTGAAAAAAGAGATAACTAAGTTTTATGCACTATTTCAACCTATGTATCCATGGCAAAAATAAATCATAATGGTTGGAAATTTCTAGTTATCCATTCATTAGTTGAAGCAAAAAAATAAATCTTATCAATGGATTGTTTTAGGCAAAACTATAAACCGTAAGGGCCACCCTTACATCTCTCCAGACAGACGTCTATGGACGCAGTGCAATGCCAAACTGTACGCTGTCCTTCGAGATGTATGTGGGTCAGTGGTAGATTCATGGGTAAGGGGAGGAACCAGAGCTGTTCCCAGCCAATGCTCTGGACCACCTGTCAGTTTCAGTGCGGGTCCGGGATTCGAACTGGGCACACCTTATGTGACAGTCCCCACTGTCTCTAACCACTTAGCCACTCGTGCTGGCCACAGAGAGCTGATGAAAAAAGGTTCCTCTTATACTAACACTCGTATTACATCATTATATAAAAAACACCCACCACACAGGGATCGAACCACTGACCTCACGATCTACTGTGTGTGTCCTTATCCATCAGACCACACCCAATAGTTGGCAGGGGCACGTTCAATGTAGCAGTAAAAAGTGCAAATGTGCGCACATGTGTTGACAATATGAATGTGCGGGTGCCATACTGCCAATTATGATGGGTTGGGCTACGCTGTTGTCGTGGTCTCTTGACATTGGCAAGCAACACTAATAGATAGCATGCAGGAGTCGATACTCGCCCTGCATTGCCACTTCTGGTGCCTCCAAGGTACGCAAAGCAGGTCGTGTGCTAATTTGCATACAGACAGACATACTCACGAACCAAGTACCGTAACCCTTGCTGCGCACGCGTGCTGAGGGTTAATAGAGCAAGCAACTGATAAGGTGCGAAGGCAATGCATTTCAGCTCCTCATTGAAAATCCACTCTGGCGGCTCCTGCATGCAGTCATGCAGACTCACTTTTCCAGTTGAGGTAGTCCTCAAGGATTGTCATGAGAGAGGTCATCTGACAGAAGACAAGGGTGCGGTGGTTGGTGACTCTGAATTTTGGCAACATCCGGTCCAGGACCTCAAACTTCCCAGACGCTCGGTACAACTCTGGTCTGCATGGGGAGACACACGACTGATGACTAGCCTAATCAAATCACAAAGTACTGCAAGAGCAATAAAAAAAGGAAGGGAATGTGCAGGGATGAAGTCTTGTGTTTTTCACCTAGTAGTAAGCCCAAAGTTATGCCTTACTGCATGGCCGAGTAAAACTATACTGTATGTCACGCAACAAAAGTCACATCATGTATCATGGCATCAAGCCCTCGTTTCAAAAATTACAAGTTTGTCAACAACAACAAATAGCACCAGGCAATAAAACTGCAAATAGTGTTTCAAAGCATCTGTTCTTCAATAGTAAGCAAGGGAATGTAATACGTAAGTGCGGCCGACCCGGTCATGTAGGTGGTGTTGAGTCCCATGTGTTCACAGAGAGCCTCCTCAATGTTCGGAAACATGAACGGATGATTGCACAACTTCCGCAGCTGGACTATGGTGTTCATCAGAGCTCTACCACCACCCTTGCCCTGTCAGATGAAGAGAAGTTGTCACACAACACACAATCTAGAAGTCCAGTATTGCTGTAAGTGATGGCATGTCCATAACACCATTGCAGGTGAGAAGCTCGTCCATCCGTATGTTATGGCTTTCCAGGCATTATGACATACATTGGGTGGACATTACACATGCAGTGGTGCATTAAGCTAGGAGCTTGTGGCATGTGTCATTAACGAGGTCAAGGCAAAAGCAAACAACAGACCTACGTACGTGTACATCTAGGACAACTCTTTTTTTCCATGGATAGGTAAATCTGCATAGCAATTCTGTCGCACCTTCTTATTGGCCTCGGAGCCATCTGTGAGCAGAATGCCCCTCTTCTGCATGTGGCTGTACATCTGTCTCTGGAGGGCCGACATGTCGCACTTGATGACGTACTCCACCTTGTCAGGGAGCTGTGACTCCACCTCCTTCTTCAGCCGCCGCAGGAGGAACGGTCGGAGGACCTTGTGCAGACGACGGATGATGAGAATGGTCTCCTCCTCATTCAACTCCATCTGTACACATAATGTGAATACTATTGTGAACCTGATTAAATTAACCTCACATACATACATACAGCATGCAGTTCCAGGGGGACATCCGGTCCCTCTATATATCTCTTTATTTGTCCTCCTAAATATGCTTCCAAGGGGACACTTTCACCCCAAAATAGTGTGTGCGCTTCAATTGGACAATTTGTTGCCTCAAGGGAGCTGATTGTCCCCCAGCTTCTAGTATCATACACCAGATACTAATCAGTGCTTCTGGTGATAGTATACGCTTTGCCATCATCTATATGCTAATCTCCAAAGATACCTTTTCTCCGGTCATGGCGAAAGGTGTGTTGAACCACTGCTCAAATGTAGCCACAGACTTGAAGATGGTGGGCAGGAGGAAGTTGAGCAGAGCCCACAGCTCAGGCAGACTGTTCTGTGTAGTCACACGGAGTGAGAGAAAATTGAACAAGTTACACAACATGAGGACTTGGAAACACTATAGTAGGAGCGACATGAGCACACACCATAAGGTACACTATAAGATAGCAGGGGGCCTGTGTGTTGTGAGGTGAAGTGGAAGGAAATGTGTAACATCGAGTCCTGTTTGTCCCTCCATGATGTCACAGGGAATAGAACGATTGGTGATGTCGCATCGTGTAATCGACAACAGGCTAATGATGTAGAGTCACATTATTTATTCATCTATCCGTGTTATTTACGATTGCATTTCTCCAGTACATACTGCAGCTTTTATCACAAAGTGTACATATACACATAATACAAAACTGGTGCAGATAATAATTGCAGGAGTCTTCCCCCCCACCATTGTCATCTACCTGTAGGGGAGTTCCAGTGAGGAGGAGTCTATGAGGAGCGTGGTAGTGTTGGTTGAGGACCTGGGTCAACTTGCAGTGGTGGTTCTTCATCCGGTGGCCTTCGTCTATTATCATGTACTTCCACCGAACCTGGAAAAGTTTTATAAGAGTCTGACTACCACAAATCACTCATTCTCTTGATGCACTAGAGCAAACTCATACTAAGCCTACTACTACTCCTTGTATATTGTACACTTTCACCGAATCTGGAGAAATTTATCACACTAAGATGATAGGGCACAAGCTGCTCATTTTCTAGCTGCTCAAGAGAAAACTCATCAGTGAAAAAAAAAGAACTTGTACTGGATATATACTAGTGCTCATGGCATGTAACTTGGACCAGTTATCAGCCGCAGTGAGCAATTGCTGCCATTATTAAGGGTGCACAAAAAGCATCATAATTGTGCTGGAGTCAAACTTGTTCAAGTTCTGAAATTTGGAGCGGGGTCAGTGACTGACCTTGGCCAGAGTGGCTCTGTCTTTGATGACGTACTCATAGGTGGTCAGGAGTACGTTGAACCGCGACTGGCGGATCTGCTGAGTCAGCAAACGTCTCCCAGCGGGAGCTCCCTATAGAGGTGTCGACAACGAGGGCTCAAGGCAGAGGAAGAGCAAATGTAAGACTCAAGACAGACGACAGACACAGGACACAACCACAGCACAGCTACTGTTTCGTTCAGTTGCAGCAGGAGACTGTGTATATATAAGATAGAGAGGAAGAAAGAAGCTTACCTTGTAGGCAATCTTGATGACGGAGGGGGCCCACCTATCAAACTCCAACACCCAGTTGGACATGGTACTGTTTGTTAGGGACAGAGAGTACAGAAACAGCTAACAGGTTTTTTCAAAATATATAAAGACCTACTCTACAGAAGAAAATGGCATTTCATTATTACAACAATTTTGGAACAAACAAAATTGTACTTCACACAGCCAAAATTAGTATGTTTTCTTGGCTATTTCAATATCATACACGAATCATACATGTATGTATACAGATGTAGAGAAGAGGGGACTAACGATAGGGGTACGATGATTAGATAGGGTCCATTGTTTCCCTTCGTTTCCATGAGGTATGCAACCAGTGCAATGGTCATGATGGTCTTGCCCAGCCCCATCTCGTCTGCCAGGATACCGTTCAGGTTGTTGTTATAGAGAGACACCAGCCACTCCAGTCCCGTGATCTGTAGGTCAGCAGTATTTAGTCACAACAGCATTTGTTAATACATACTTTTGTGTGCACACACACTGTGTAGATGACGTCAGTCATCACCAGTATAATTATGCTGCGATTAAATTTTTCTACTTAGTAACCTTTAATTTTGAAAGAAGAGTACCCTATGTTCATGGCACATACTGACAGCTCTGTACACACAAGCTTGCTTGCCATTGGCAAAAAGCTTGATAGCAGCAGCATACTATTACTGGTGTCTCCAATACGTAATGAATAGGCAATGCTATAACAGTGACAGCCTCTCACCTGGTACTCCTTGAGCCTGCCATTGATCACGATAGTGGGCTGGGAGTCCACGGGTTCCCTCAGAGTGTGGGCAATGCCATAGTAGTTCTGCATGGTCCCCTTCTTCGTGCTGTACTCATCGTCCATAGTGGCCGAGGTCTTCTGTATGTACTCCCTGGGGTTGTTGGGGTCGATGTCCTTGGTCGACGCCCCCTCTGCTTCCACCCCCTCATTGTCCTCTCCTTCATCCTGTGAGATACAGATTGGATCATCACTGATAGAATTCCCCCACCAACCATCCCTACCAATTACTGTTGTACACTAAAACCGTCGATACAGGGTGTTTGTAGTACATGTTTATAGTACCTCAGCAGCAGATCCAGACTCCTCATCATTGTCCATGGCCTCATAACTAAAATGTACAATTGACAGGGATTGAAATACACATTCAACAGTGCCAACACTCCAGGACTACAAATTGAGCAGCACCATTAAACTGTAGCCATTGATGTAGTGTACTAGTGTAGTGTGACAGTGTATCGACTGACTTGGGGTGTTCCTTGAGCCACTGCTCCAGCTCACTCTTGAGGGGGGCCTGGTCTCCCGTCAGTTTCTTCCCCGTGGAGGTGTCAATGACAGTCACTCTGTAGTCCTCCTTCACCTCCTCCCCTGCTCCCTGCTCCACCTGTATCAACAACACACACGGTCTCTACACTGGCACAATCACCACACACCAAACCATAATGTTTACAGACAACGTGATCACTTTGGGCATGAACACTATATAGGCTTTAGACCCAGTTAAAGTCAGAGGACATGCTGTGGGAGCGTCAGGGAGCCCGGTAAGACGTTATAAAGTGGAGATTACGTTTTCGGGCTTGCTTGCAACATGCTACACATGTACATATATATACATCTGGTGCTCACAGTGAGTCTTCGTTTCTTGGAGTTCTTCCTCCTCTTGAGTTTCTGGAGGTGCTCCTTGTGCTGCTGGACCATGTCGGTGAGACTCTCAATGTACTCGTCAGTCTGCTGGAGGAGGTACACCAGCCTCTTGTCTTTCTCCTGGTCTATCAGCTTCCTGTAGCCCTCCTCGTCCTCCGCCTGTAGTAGTAGTAGGGGACACACACAATGGAGGGGAGAGGGGAAGGAGACACCTATAACTATTGGTGTGTGTTTAACATCACTCTCTATTAAAAAAGGTCACAAGGCAATTAAACTTATTGATAAAAAATGGGTGCATTAGCATATCATACGTAATGAATAATTCATTTAACTTGGGGAAAATGGAAGCGACAATACACACACAAACACAGAGCCCTCCACCCACCATGAGTCGCCTCATTCTCTCCTTCTCCACCCTCTCCTGCTCCTTCTTCTGCTCTCTCTCCAACAGAGCGTAGTGGTTGAGGACGGCCTTGCTGAGTCGCGAGGTGCGGGCCATGTTGTTGCGGTGGAACTCCTTGAAATCCCTCGAGTGAGACATGATGCTGTTAAGATATTCCTGCACAGAGAACAATTACAACAATGTGATGTATATATATATGTAGTTAAGCGAGAAACGTTTAAGAGAACACTATCGTAATTTGGTAGCAAACAAGAATACCTCTGTCCCAAACATATCACGCACGATTCCCCACAATCAAGCAACTACGTGTGTATGTGTACAATGTGGCAGCACATTAAGCCTATATGAGCATGTAGAAAATACCATGTAATGCATGCATGTCTCCATAAGTTGTATTGGAGCAGAAGTGTACGTATAGTGTGTGTATAGTGTTAGAGCGGTCAGTCACCTGATGTTTCTGCCTCTTCCTCCTCTCCTGTTCCAACTTTTGCTGCTGCTCCAGTTTCTCTGTGATCCTTGCCTCTCGCACCGACTGGCGCTTCGGACGCTTGTATGCCTGTGGATGACACGAGATCCATATATCACGTGAATCATGGGTATCAACACACATTAGGGAAGTGAATTTGTACACACTAGAACCCCTTTAGGAAAAGCACTCTACCCACATGTCAAATAGGTAGCAAGGCAAAGAAGTCAACTACACCCCCGGCAGCTTTTTCCTGTTCGTTCCAAGGACGCACATCACATTTTCTTCGCATATCTTGGTCAAATAAAGCAGTAAACTGTGCGTGTAAAGTTTAATGGAGGTGAGTAAGTTGGCATTAGTGACCTTGAGGTTGAGGGCAGTCTCCAGAGTGGAGGACCGTCGAGAACACGAGAGAATCTCAGCTCGCAGCTGTTTCTGGAAGTTGAGGAGTCGCAGTGCCCGCAGCTCTATCATGGCCTTGCGTTTGATGGGGTCAGGGAGGCTGGCAGTCAAGTTCTCCAGCTCGTACACCCTGTGGGCTATGCGGGCCTCGATCCTGGCAGCACAGACAATAAATACAGAGTGCTTGTATATCCACGGCATAGTACGAAAATAAAGGGACATTACTGTTTGGTTAAGCTAGTCTTCTCAGATAATGTACACAGACACACAGACATTGTCTCACCGGGTTTCCCTCTCCTTCATGACGGCCATGGGGTCGATCCCTGGAGGACGCTTCATGGTTGTCAGCTTCACCTGCTTCAGAGAAGAGCTAGTGGACTGGGTCTTACGCTGCTGTGTCGCCTGCTGTTGTTGTTCAGATTGCTGTTGCTGGTGGTGGTGGTGGTGGCCGCCGGAGGTGCTCTGGGACGCCTCGTGTGTCGTGGGTTTGCCAGGAGGCTCCGAGGAGGAGTGAGAGGCAGCCGGGAGAGGTGTGGGGACACTGACTGCCACACTCTGGGACGATGACATGGCTTGCTTCACCTGAACTCCACAGAGGAAACATGGTACAGTTAAAGAACACAGTCCATGATGTAATTAACGTATCCACGCCTCATGCGTGGACAAAACCTTCACTACAGATTAGTGCATCAAACTCTGCTTTGGGTCATTTTAAACTACGTACATAGATAAACCAGTATGTTAAGGTAGTACACTATTTGTATGATGTGCCATGTATGGAGCTGGTCAGTTCTTCATGTAAGACTAAGTTTTGAGTCACGAAATCTGCTGGTCAGCATTTTTAAGCTCGTAACCCATGTTCATAACCTGTTTTTCTTATGGCGTACTATGCATTGGGTAACCAACAACAAATTTCGTGACACAAAACTTAGTCGTATATGAGGTAACAAGGCAAAAAATCATCAACAAACAGCTGAAAAGAGTGCAGCTATGTTAACATGTACATTTGAAGTACAAATCAAAACTGAAAGTGTTTGCCAATGTTTTGCATACGTTCTAGAATTGTTACACAACATACCTGTGGAGGTAGTTCTCCGCCAGGTTGTAAGGTGACATTGGGGGCAGCTCCTGAGGTGTGGCTCTGCATCAGGTGAGGCGCCGGGTTCACTGGGGGTGTGGCTCCATCGGAATGCCCCGCCCCTCCAGTGGACGGGGAGGGAGGGTAGAGACTGATATTAGTCTGTGCTGGAGACTCCCTCCCTCCGACTGACCCCGCTGGAGAGGGAACCCCTCCACTAATTGGGTATCCTCCCATCCCACCCTGCTGTCCGGCAGTGTTGCCACGACTGAGAGAGCCCAACATGGCTGCGGTTGGTTTCCTCCCCTGGACTATACTGATGAGGGCCTCTGGTGGCGTGATGCTGCGAGACAACATGCGGTAGGCCTTGATCTGTGCACTCAGCTGCTGGAGCTGGACGTTGTTGAGTGGGTTGGGCATCTTCTGGCCCATGGGATTCATGCTGGGGCGCATGGCGACCGGCGGCATCATCTGCCCACCACCACTCATGTTGGGAGGGAGAGGGCCCGACGGACCGTAGGGATTGTTGCTGGCTATCATTCCCATTCCTGGCGGGGGAGGCATCCCGTGTGGACCTCTCTGTAGAGGCATGGACCTGGGAGGAAGGTGGGGGCCCTGGGACATGTCCGGGTGCATGCCTACCATAGGTAAGCCCTGCGGAGGAGGTGAGATTCTAATTAATGCACACCGCACTCTGAAAGGCGCGAGACAACTGGAAGACCAGCGAGAAAACTGGTCTCTGAGTGTCGTTGCTCGTGAGTACGATATTTATTTGAGAGCATACTCACCCGCTGGCCCATCATCTGCATGTTGTACGGATTGGTGGGGTCCATTGTCGGCGGGGCAAATGGATCTCCAGGAGGTAGGCTTCCGGACATTCAGGCCCCGTTCAGAGGGGCGTTGACGGAATTGGCACTTACAACGACTGCAGAACCGAAGCTTTATCCTCTTCTTCTCTCTACCCACCCGACCTCATCTTGCGCCTGCGGTCGAGCTGGCCAAGTTATACGCATGCGTAGTAAGCAAAAACCGTAAGCGCATGCGTGGACTGAACCATGGCTTCCGCGACAGAAGCAGAAGTGAAGAGGCTGGGGCCAGCTTCAGAGTGGATGGTAGCCAACACCGGGCACTCCAGAGCCCAGATACTGGACGCTGCAGTGAACAATGTTTGAAGAATCAAGGAAAACTAAAACCATGTAGGCAAATTTATCTTTTTCAGCTGGTGGACGTGTTATGTAACATGATTTCATACTACGACAAGCACATAGAGCAAAGGTGTAGCTCTAATCGCTGTTATAAACTTACTTTTATCTATGCTACACCTACAGCCCACCAAGTGATCTACTTATAGAGGCACAGGAGCTTTGTCTTCCCATTGCCAGCAATGTGGAGTGCTTGCCTTTGGTCGTTTGTTGAAATCCCGCACAACCATCTATCATTACTGTCTTTTTTATTATCAGATTGAAGCACTCTTGTACCATTGTAGTCGACAGCGATGGTAAGAGGCATCATAGAGAAGATGAACCGTTCAGATGATGTTGACACTCTATTGTTCAGGGAGTTCCCTATAATAATATCTCAACCACTCCCAAAAGCTCCAGTGTCTCCGTTGTCTCAGCAGTTTCTAGAGAAAGTAACTCACTTAATGAGTGAGCTGTTATTAGACCTATCCTCTTACATACTGCTCTATTATAATCTGAGTGTGCAGAGTCTGGGGTTAGACTGTCTTACAATTCACTGGTGGTACTATGGACTACACATCCTCCTGCTATCCAACAAGAGGTATTTAGATAGAGCTGCACCAGACTTTGCAGATGTAGTATATATTCAAATCTCTTCAAGTTGATGGAGATGGCAAGGACGTGTATGACATTGTCTTCTGAGAAGTCGTTCTTGACTTACATCAATGGCCATGATCTTGTGCGTAGCTCTTAATACGTCTTGGTCCTGCATAATTCTGTGGCTTGCTCTGTCTGTAGGCAAGAGCATGTGCTCAATCCTCACAGCTCTTTGACTATTCGACATCTTTCTTGAGGTATGCACAATTATTATGAGAAAGCAGTAGCTGAAACTATTCTATATACAGCTTAACGTGTGTATGTAGTTGTGGTGTATGCCTTTGCTTGTTCACATTGCTGTGTGTATATATAAAAAGGTAGTAGGCTAGGTAGTGAGAGAACATAATTATATAGAGCAGTGGATAAGTTGAAGAGCAGCTCACTCATAAGGTGGGTTACTTTTTCTAGGTAGTGTAAAAGCTTTGTTTCGTGAATGTGGTCGGCCAGTGCTGACATGCTAAAACTGAAGTATTGCTTTCGCATCTAAGAAAGTATTGTAGAGAAGGTTCGTACATATGCATGTATTTTTACATCATGTATATTTATACAGGGAAATCGTAGAGAGAGAACCAGAGAAATCTGTATTCTTCCATTTGTTTAACCACACCATCACCAGAAAAATACTATCACATAGGAGTCTTGAAGAAAAATAGACAAATTATTCAGAGTCAGGTTCATTCACACTTTACTTCTTTTAACTTCCAGACTGACACTGATCTTCCGTTTATTGTTGTTGTCTTCTTCAAAGAAAACCTATAATAAGAGATACATGTTGTTTTGTTTTAGAGATTAATGTTTTTCCCTTTGCTCATATATAAAAACCATGGTCAGTACAGTAGTCAAGGTCCTTTCCCTCACGGAAATCTATACCTTGTAAAGGTCCAAGGGTTAACGCAAATGTTATAGATGAGTGTTTATGTGCTCATGGCAATACAAGTCATAAGGAGGGGTGTGCTTGGATACCTATCACAATGGCAAATTGAAGAGAAAGACTATACCATTGTCCAACGAAGGAGAGGGTGTGAGATGGGTTCCATGAGGAGTGAGAGGAAGAGAAGACCAGGAGTCCTCCAGGGAGCACCACCTCCCACAGCTTGTACAGCCACCCTCGAGGCTCACTCAGTCTCTCCACACTCTCAAACACCACCACGTCAAATCCCTCCAGCTCATTCGGAACCCACGTCAACTGCAGGCAGTATAACACACACACACACACACACACACCACACACACACACACACACACACTCTATAATGACAAAGACTGTAATGCTATATACTTATGATTGGCCAGTGGGAGCAAGCTAACCAAGTCAAGTGGTTCCAATGGTGTGATTAATAATGACCGTAGGCCCACATACTACGACTTGCTAAAGTGAATTTGAGTAAGCATTTTGTTGTTGGTACTATGCTGTTTTGTGCTTCATATAGGGGGGGGGGCACTTCTTATAGTGGAAACTGAGAATATTTGTGATTGTTTTTCCTTCACAAATTTTGTGGCTGCAGAATATTAAGCACTTGCTTGATATAATGCATGCAGTATGCGTACATGTACAAACCTGTTGAAATTGTACTCGTGAAGGTTGGGACTGTGAGGGTAGTTTGGCTACTTGCCGAGATCCATACTCCACCACCTTCCCTTTCTGGATCTTCATAGCAGTGTCGAGGAACCTCCCACAGAAATCTATTCCCACCACCTGCAACAACAAAACCAGTTGTTGTCACATAATAGCCTTGTTTAACTAAAAAGTATTGTTTGTGGATGGGAACCTTCTTTCTGCAGTTTCCCTGGGAATTCTGCACGCTTTCTACCTCCAACAATCTTCCCACTAATAAGGTATCGTGCTTGGTATAATGTCGCAAGTGGACCTTCTCAAAGTTGGCAGAGAGGAGGAAGGAAGTGAGCCCAGTGGCACAGCCAAAGTTGATGACAGAGTTGGTGGAGACGTTGAACTTCGCAACTGCCTCTTCCACTACCTCCACTAGTGGAACTGAATACCTCTCCATCTGTAGGGAAATGTTATGGGATAGCACAGGGTGGGAGTATACTCTGCCATAGCACAGGGTGGGAGTATACTCTGCCATAGCACAGTCATTTGCTTGTCTTGTGTTGTGTTCTACATTTGAACCACTACCTGCTTCGCTTTTATTCCTTTGGTTGATGAAACATTCAAGGAATTTGCAGATTCTGTTTGTGTGGAATTTCAAAAGAGTTGTCCCAGGTGTAGTTGACTTTGTTTGATTTGCTACCTTGTTGGTTTTGAAATGCTATAGAGCAGTGCTGCTTGTGTCAACCAGGAATCCTGGCAGCTGTTGCCACAAACGAGTTTAAATTAGCCGTGACTGTGCTAAATTACATTTTGGCAGATTTAGATTGTCAAACTGCCAAACTGTCGTAAATTTATACTAGACGTCTGTTTAATTGATGGTCTATGGCCTACTAATGGTCAATGACCTACGTACGTGCCTCGCCATATTGTTCCTGTAGTGTTTTCTCCAACATTGCCCTTGTCTCATACTGGTACTGTTTGTTGGCAGTTTCAACAGTTGCTATCCTCCTCTCATCAACCCCAGGCAGGCTTACTTCACTCTCTTGAAATACAGAACAGATGATTACAGCCACCACACTCACACAGTCTCAGAAGCGCCAATAATTTTAGAGGCCCTATTTAATAGCTTTTCGTGATACGTATTAGAAAAACATGCTGTGCAATAGTAATAGAAATCTCTAGTCACAAACACTTTTCCCGTAAAACATCACATTGCCCTACTCACGCAAGGATAGATATTCGCCCAAGTATGTAATTAAGGTCTAAACGTGGGACTATGTAGAGTGAGACTGGTGAGTGATACCAACCGGTGATGCCCTCCCCAAATACAAAGACCTCGGCCCGGCAGAGGCGAACAGGGGGAGGGGAGGAGGAGCGAGTCAGTCTGAACCCACAATGCTGGAAAAAGTGTCTCCGGAAGAAGTTCCTGCAGAACCTCGAGGTGAAGCTACCAGTTGAGGCCCAGGAACCACCCTTCAGGAGAGAAACATTATGGGATAATCCTCATGAGCATATACAAGAATTTTGTACATATGTGCCGTTTTCACCTGGGTGGAACAAACAGAGTTGAGGGAGGGAGATTAGGTGATTACGCGTTCATGGTGACAAGTTTGCTAGGTAACGTTTTGTTTCTTTCCTTCAAACGACTAGGTGGTTAGGCTAGCACCTTACTGGAACAGGTTTTCAACTAAACCAGTCTCTCCAGAGTTCATCATCACCAAACATTCCTGCTGTGGCTTGCAAGACTGGATAACACCACACCCCAAATGTGTATGTACTGGGGAATTCCCTTTTGACCACAGACTATTACAAGAATGACATTCACACAGCTAGGTGGCTCACCAATACGTGCTTCGCCCCCCTGAGATTTTTACCCATGTGCGTACCAGTATGAGATTGTGTTTCTTGTCGCAGTATGTGGCAGAGTAGTCTTCGTAGAGATAGTGTGTCTTGAAGCCAGGGAGCCCGTTGTACTGGTCCTCCACCCACTCCCATACATTGCCATACACGTCATAGAATCCCCATAGAGTTGGCTGGGAACATGTTCACCGGCTGTAGACAGGAACCAAAGGACTATGTACTAAAACCATAGTACTTAGTGTTTAGGTGAGCATATTATACTACATGGATCTACCACGTATCACCTTCATGTGCAACTTATCAGTAAAAAGCTGTGTGCATAATAACTCACAGAGGAGGAGCAGTATCTGAGGTTGATGTTAGCCCGGTGATTAGCTCTAAATGCAGGGTCACACTCCACGTCCTTACACAATGGCTGAAGTGTCACACACGAGTTATCATACAGACATGAATTCATACAATGTCATTGAAACTGACCGGGTCATCCCTGATGTTATGGTGCTCAGCCTCAGTGGGCAGACGATAGGACGGTCCCTTCCACTTGCAGAAAGCCTTTGCCTCATGGTAGTTGACCTCCACTGGCCAGTCCACCGGCATCTCCGTTACATCAAACATGGCTCGGTACCTACATACATTAGATATGCAGCTATCTCTCAGTGTCTCCAACTGCCATTATCTGTACACAGGGAGCATTATTGCACTGTTACAACACATGTCTATTCCCTTTCCAATTTCATAATGCTCTAGTAGTTAGAAGCCCCAACTACTGTTGCATGTATTTGGCTGACGTACTTGTAGCAGGTGTTGCTGTGAGTGGTTCCATTGAGAGGAGGAGGAGGCTGGAGGTTACAGTGGGAGTAGGTGCTCAGGTCTGCACCGCAGCTACTCTTACATCCCTCACTGCACACCCAGAAGGTCGGGTGACGGGCACAGCGAAACTCCACCCACTTCCAACCTACATGCATAGTGGATCTTTAATGGAAGAACTGTGCTTATAGCCACACCCACTTCCCTCTGACGTATTTTGAGCTATTCTCATAGCAGAATTGGTTAGTATTTTCTGTCCTAGGCAAGAGGTTGTCCATACCTTCCAGGGTCCAGAGGTCTTTGTTCTGGTAGCCTCCACTCTCAACAAACTCCAGAAACTCTCCGTTAGTCACCAGATACTGACTGGCCTCAAACTCTGGAACGCTGCAACACAACACACACACATACAAACATACCAAACTCAGACCTACAAATTAAGGTCGTGCTTTAGGGTTATGGCCTAACAGTAATCTATGAAAGTTCGCACATTCTACGGTTGGACATTACACACTTAATCTATACAGTTAGTGCAATGTACACTATTTTATGACCGGAAATACTAAACAGCAATCGGGTGCATTGCATATACACTGTTTTATGACAGGACTGACTCAATTTCCATCTGCCCATAGTCAGAGTCCCAGCCATAGGAGGGGAAGTCACGAGGTTTTCCAACAGTCACTCGACCACCGGGAACCTTCACCAGCACATTCTCACCTGCACTGGAGTCTACCACACAACATATTGAGTGCCAGGGTAACCAGAGACCTGACTGTGTGTTACCCATGGCAGCAGGAGCGTAGGACCATTTCTCTGGTTTCTGAACCATCTCCAGTGGCAGCTGGTGGATGAGTACTGCAGTTGTCTCTTGGTGCATTCTTAGACAACAGATTATAGATCTCTATACATGTCCATACCATAGGTGTTACAGACTTACCTTTCGTGGTCGATCCCCATGAAAAGTGACCACTGGAAAAATATACGCGTGAGAGTGTTTTTATGCATAACAGCCCCAGCTAGTCACATGCATTGCCTATACATTGCAAACACATTAGTTTGTTGGCACTAGCATTCTTTACTGGGATATATGGAGTCCGAGGCATGGCTTCCAGGTGTGTCGGTGGCTATACGTATATGTGGTCTCACCCAGGGGTTGTCCATGGAGACAGGGAGGGAGAGGGGAGACGATGAGATGACATCACACACCAACTCTCTCACAGTCTCACGATACTCCATCACCTGCTTCAGTCCTGGCCACTGGAAGGCTCCCTCCCATTCGGTAGTTCTCCTGATACAAAACAACAGACACACTGCAATCAACAACCACACATTCACCTTCTTTGCACGGCTCATGTCGGGTCATTAATTATTTGTGAAGAGAATGCAAATAAAAGTAGGATCTGTAACTTACAGTGTCGTCCCATGAAAGTTCGTTCACTCCGGTCTCAAACAGTGTTTCAAACTTTCTATTCACCCGTTTCTGTGCGTGTAGAGGTGAGTTCACTCTGTATATGGTAGTTGGTGTGTGCAACTCACCGATATGAGTGAGGCCAGCAGTAGTTTGTTGACATAGAGTGTGGCAGGGTGAGCCAGGTAGAAGATGAGTGGGAGTCTCAGACGATCAGGACACTTGTACAGGTACTTCTCATCTAAGGTCGGGATTGTTGATGTTATTGTTTGAACCCCGTGTGTCCCCTATTAACCCAGTCAATGTTGAGTCCATGTTGTATTTATCTACGTAGATATGGCCTCACCAGGTTCGTAGCTCATATAAATCATGACCTCACGAGTGAAAGCCTAATGCATTAGCTAGCTAGCTAGCTAGTACAATTACTGCAGCCAATGGGTCACTCCCACTCTCTTATCTAGCAAGCTCTTGCTACTCGGAAACAGGGGTGAAAGCTCTCCGTCTATATATAGCTATCCTGAAATCAACTGCAGTGGTGTATATACAGAACAGGTAAACCTGCCTCTGATTGAAGAGAACAGCTCGTCGTCCAGCAGGAAGGCATTGAGGAAGTCTCTCTCGATCTCCCTGCAAGCGTGTAATACGTCACACGACGTGCAGTAAGCGTATTCTACGCACCTCTTACTGCACTTGCTGAGGTCACAACACGGAGTTGCTAGCCGTCGCTCCTCCATCGAAGGCTCCAGAGCTGCTCGCATCAGAGACCTCTGCTCGCTCACCAAAGGATGGGCGTGGCTGAAATATCGCGCATGCGCAATCTATTGCTAACACAGTTCATGTAACAGTAGTGTCCACTCTTGCTAATAATTAATCATCATCACCATTACAAAAGATAAAAATTCATGTTGTAAAAAAGTTTTGAAAAAAACACGCTAATCCATCACTTCATCTTCCAGATTGATACTTGTCTTCCACCAATCACAGTAGTCTCCTTCAGGTCAAACCTGACATAACACAATGGACACTAGTCATAGCTATATAACACAATGGACACTAGTCATAGCTATATAACACAATGGAACTAGTGTACCTCTTTTTTATTGTTCAAACATGCATTAACCACTAAGAATTTATGCTATGACATAAAATAAAGGGTTTCTCTGCAAGTTTTTGGGACTACAAAGTGCTGCCTGCAAAATACTCTGCTATTTCATGCGGCTCTGAGGAAAAGTCACATGCTAATGGTCACCAACATTCTCACAGTAATTCTAGACTCTGACTATCAGACTATTACCATTGTCCAATGAAGGAGAGGGTGTGAGATGGGTTCCATGAGGAGTGAGAGGAAGAGAAGACCAGGAGTCCTCCAGGGAGCACCACCTCCCACAGCTTGTACAGGCACCCTCGAGGCTCACTCAGTCTCTCCACACTCTCAAACACCACCACGTCAAATCCCTCCAGCTCATTCGGAACCCACGTCAACTGAAATTTAGACCGCAGTCACGCGCAATTGACCAATCAGATTACAGAATTGCGGGGGGTTTATTTTTCATAGACACCTCGTTTCAGTTGTCTAATGGCGTTTGCAGGTGGTCTACAGAAAATCCCGTACAAAAGGCTATTCTCAAAAGTCGTTATCTGCGCAAACCGGCCGATTCCGCGTTCGGTATATGTAAGCGTAGAAGGCGCGACTGGCAAAGTAGCTCTTTTAAAATGCGTAGTGCACCTGCAAGAAGTCTGTGGACAGTCTCCGGAGCTCGCGAAAGTCATAAATCACGTCAATATTCCACGAAAAAGCGTCGGCTTCTTCAGCTCTGCGATACACAAACACATTGGGGCCGTTGCCGTGCGTTGCTAACCCTTTCAAACGCGCACCACCAATGAGGGCGTTTTATGATGACGTAAACGAATTTTTACGGGGGGCGGGGGCTGTCTCCTCGGAGAGTCTCACACGTAAAAAAACCGTCTTGTTCCATCCGAAGGTAAGGAATGAGGAATGAGCGCAGCGTTGCTAGCTTGTTGCTACCCATTTGAACGCGCAAACACCAATCAGATACTCCGGTCTAAACCGGTTAGACGCGGAAGCTCGGTTGTCTACGCAACATTGCAACCCTCGGGGCATGTGGGTAGCGCCCTCGCTGCGCTCGGGACGCCAACATTCCACAGCCCCTCGGGTTGCAATGTAGCGTAGACACCTCGCTTCCGCGTCTAACCTATATATAGCAAAGAGACCATCTCATAAGGCCGTTAGAAAATTGAAGGGTCCAAATGAAAAGTTCACTCTACAGGCATTTTCACCATTACTTCACATTAATCACAGTTTATCTCATGAAATACATGTTTTTCGTATATTCATTGACTTTCCATTGTCTAGTCTAACCCTTGTTGACGTTGCATCATCTATGATTCGTAAGAACCTGATTCTGGCTCACAAATAAGTGATGAGAGTCTACCATAATATGCAGGTAGCTTTACAACACACTTGTTGTGCTGCTACTGAGGTACCCTTATTTTGCTGTTATACCTGCTTGAATTGTACTCGTGAAGGTTGGGACTGTGAGGGTAGTTTGGCTACTTGCCGAGATCCATACTCCACCACCTTCCCTTTCTGGATCTTCATAGCAGTGTCGAGGAACCTCCCACAGAAATCTATTCCCACCACCTGCAGCAACAAACCAGTTGTATGTCACATAATGCTTGTACAATATAGCTCTAGCCCACCACCTGATATCATAATATAACACAGTGCAGAATAATGATTAAAGTGCTGCACATGGAAGTCACTGATTAGCAAGATGAGTGTCAAGTCGCCAAAAAGCGATTTTTGGTTTTAGCACTTGTGCTGTGCTACCTTTTGCCGTATGAAACTGTTTGGAGAATGACTGTAGTTTGGACGATCTAGTAGCTAGCTAAAGGGTCTCGGATTTAACAGTTGCACTAGCACCAAGCACACCCATAGTTCCTATGCCCCTGACTAAAATAGAGGTAAATAGCAGACCTTCTCAAAGTTGGCAGAGAGGAGGAAGGAAGTGAGCCCAGTGGCACAGCCAAAGTTGATGACAGAGTTGGTGGAGACTTTGAACTTCACAACTGCATCTTCCACCACCTCCACTAGTGGAACTGAATACCTCTCCATCTGTAGGGAGATTGACACATAATTATACTTCTATCAAAGCATGTTTGGCAGCCAACGTTGTGTGCGAGTGTAAATTGCACATGCGAACAGACGATTTACTTGTGGTTGTATTCAAACACCACTTATTGCTTAATGGTACCATTACTCTCTAATTGACAACTCCCTCATGAAGTCACGAGCCAATAGTTGCAATAACAGCAGGGGCCTACCTGTCCATACTGCAGCTCCAGAGCCTCCTCAAGTTTTTCCACAGTCTCATAGTCAAAATGGCGGTTGGTGGACGGCACGCTGACCTCCTCACCATTCACACCGGGCAAGCTCACTGCATTACCTAAGGAAATACACACACTTGAATAACGCTAGCATTGCTCAAACATATAGGGGCAACAAAATCTCAGTAGACATAAATGTGGATGTGTATCAGTGACCAAAACACATCTCAAAAAAGCATTAGGCATTTAGCCAAGATTCTCTATTTGACGGTCAATTAGAACTAGTTCACTGTGCTCTTCACACAGTATATACCGTACAGCAGTCAATTTTAAAGGTATGCAACTCTTACCCACACACACTTGCACAACGAGCAATACATACACACAGCACACAGGTGCTTACTGGTAACTCCAGTTCCGATTCCGAAGACCTCGGTGGTGCAGAGCCTCACTGGGGGAGGGGCTGGGGAGGTGGAGCGAGCCACCCTGAACCCAAGGTGCTGGAAGAAGTGTCTCCGGAAGGAGAAGCGGGCGAATCGCGAGGCCTCATCTCCAGTACTCACCCACGAACCCCCCTTCAGCCACACACACACACACACACACACACACACACACACACAGCGGTGAATAAACTATACTATAGAGACCTGTTATGGCCCCTAGTGGCAAGGGGGACAAGTGGTTTGGTATGCTCAACGTTGCGCTTTCTTTAGCATTTAGATATTTACCAGGCACGTGGAGCTTGAAAATTGTAATAGCACATAGCACAGAGAGTGTGTGTATGTATCACACATACTAGAAAACTGTGTTGGTGTGTGGGTAAAGGCTCACCGTAATAGAGTCTTCTCTCCGAGGATGATTAGAGCTATATAGTCAATTCTACAATGCTTTGGACTAGGCTACAGTGAGAGCTAATAGAGAGGTATAATTGCAGGAGTTGCTCGGGATGTTAAGGTGGTATGCAGGGCAGTGAGTTGCTTGGGATGAGATTAGCTCTATCAGAATGTGAAGATAAAAGACGAAGGGAGCTTCATTCTTGTATCAACACAATCACACACACAATACACTGATAGTATTATATCATGAAATACATATGATCAACATGCATTCTTTCAACCATTAATAATTAATAATTTGTACCACAGAAATGGTGTAATTAATGATATTATGCTGGTCAAGAACTGGCTTAGGGCAGAGTTTTTTTTAGTTAAATCTATGTAATGGCGAGCAAGCGCGAGCAGTTCAATTTATTGTGCATATTCGCACGTATCCGGTAAAACATTATGCTATGTGCAACGGCCGTCACATAATTATGTAGAAAATTCCCACATTCAGACGACTAGGTAGGCTCACTTCGCTCGCCAATTATATTCATGTGGGTATTCGTGGTTATAACCTCCCTTCCCATGTGTGACATTGATCCCCTATCCCTTCTTTCCATGACCTAACATTGCATAATAATGTGAGAGGTGGTGTCATGTGACTCACTGTCATCATGGTGTGCCTCCCATCGAAGCAGGGGGAGGAGAAGTCATCGTAGAGATAGTGTGTCTTGAATCCAGGCAGACCATTGAATTGGTCCTCCAGCCACTCCCATACATTGCCATACACGTCATAGAACCCCATAGAGTTGGCTGGGAACATGTTCACCGGCTGCAGGTGGATAGACATGTAGAACACCTGTGTTATCTTGCTATACTCTATTACCACTATGAATTCTCGTACTCCCACTGTAACGTTTATTGGAGGATCTATAACATATAGTACACAAATGTCTTGCCACTCCCTTCCCATGTCCTTGAATGAATCTCCCTACTACAGTGGAACCTCCGAGATGGGACGATCTTTCTACAAAGGTCACTTATTTCAACCCCGTGCTAATACTTCCGTGTATTATTTGACCTCCGAGATATAGGGATGACCTCTCTACAAGGGACTAGATTGTTGGCCCCATAGCGTCCACTGTTCAGAGGTTCCACTGTATACATAGGTAGTATGAACAATGTAGACTCACAGAAGAGGAGCCATATCGGAGGTTGATGTTGGCCTTGAAATCTGGTCTGAAGACTGGGTCACAGCTCACATCACTACTGCTGGGTGGCTGGAGGGAGAGGAGATGAGAGAGGGGGGAGGGAGAAATTGCAGGTCTATGAACAACTAAAAATCCGGGTGTTCTAAAATAAAGCAGACAAATTACTATTCTGGGAATCTGGGACCCCTCTAATCTCAACAACAGTGGGTCAGTCACTATCAATGACATAAACCCTTAGTGACTGACCGGGTCACCCCTGATGCGATGGTGCTCAGCCTCAGTGGGCAGACGATAGGACGATCCCTTCCACTTGCAGAAAGCCTTTGCCTCATGGTAGTTGACCTCCACTGGCCAGTCCACTGGCATCTCCAGTACATCAAACATGGCTCGGTACCTGTGCAGTACATACAGTGAAAACCACAAGTCCCAGTATAACAGGTATCAGTTGTGTTTGTTGCAACAACATCAAGAGATACGTAACACTATGCCAGGAAATTATCAAACTTCAAGGAAACTATGTGAAATATGTATTTAAGCAGTTCCTCTAATAACTATATATAGCGGGTGCCTTGGTTCAAAGGAACTCTACCATTACACTAGGAGATAGAGTGGCTATTGAACTACAGCTCCGTATCGTCGGCTGCCAATAACGTCGTCACACTGGTGTCTATGTACTCACTGTGCGCAGGCATCAATCGACTCACTTCTGCGCTGTCATTACACTATGAGTTTTCCGGTAAGTACCTATTTGAGTCCGCTTGGTTCGGTGGAAAAGTTCTTATTATGTAAATACCCTCTCTGTTCTGTAACAGTAATAATCAATGTTGGGCTTGTCATCTCCTCCGTACTTCTTTTATGTTGTAGGCAGGTATTGCCCGTGAGTGGTCCATGAGAGGAGGATTTCCGCATGGAGGCTTTGTGGTCTCAGGTACAGTGGGAGGGAGTTGTTTTGGATCTTAAGGTCTGCACCGCAGCACTCTTACATCCCCACTGCACCACACCCAGAAGGTGTGGTACGCACCAGCGAAAACTCCACCCCCATTATTCAACACCTTGTAGTACGTGAGGTCACTAGTTGTTAAAATCATAAAGACATATGTACTGTTATTACTATTTAACGGTCAGATAGCTTTTTCCTTTGCGTGCTTCTTTTTTATGAGTGTGAAGAAGTATGACTTGGCTCTGCATTGATTATGTTCTCTGTTGCACTTTCCATTTCAGAACTCTTGTAGCCGTCTATACTGATCAGTCTTTTAAGCTCTGGTTTCCTCTCTTTCTATAGTCAGATGGTGTCATCACATCCTCATTATGTGGGTGATCACACTCTTTTTCATAGGTCCTTAAAAAGTCCTTTAATCAGCGAATCATTTTCGATCAGATTACAAGGTTCACCGGAGGAGAGCACTGAATGCTTGATGATTGCGTTGCATTCTACACACCATGTTACATACATATAGGGCTTCCTGTGTGGATTTTGCTCTGATAGCAACATCGGCTGAACCTTTGTACACACAGCTATCACACTGCTGACACACATGTGGTGGCTATGCTTGCATACTCATAATGATCAATCTGCATCTTACGATGTATACATATAGGTTCCAGACCACTAAGATATTACGTGGCAGCACGATCACTATACACTGATACTGTCCCTGTTCTTAGTGGTTTTCCTTCTAGCCACTAAATTGATTAAGACACCATCATTAGGGTTGTCTGTTATTGTTAGTATATTGTAGTGGAATGATTGACATTTTCAATTTTTTCCCATACAGTATTGAAAAATGCCTAGATTGCACTTGACATTCAACATTGCAGTTGAAGGACCAATGGGGATGTGAACTGAAATTAATTTCCCAGTTACCCTTCTCCCCTATAGGGTCGTATTAATACCGTCTTTGCTGGTTGTGTCAAAGTTTAATCCAGGCTGTGTATCTATTAAGACCTAATTGTTTGGGATGATCCCTAGGCAACCAATTTAACTGTTTTATGAGCCAGATTACTGGGGGATTGTACAAGCCGTCAACATGGGCAAGCCCAGTCCGGGTTTTTTCATACAGGTTCCATTGCCTAGGGAGATCCAACATTAATCTGTGTGCCACTATTACCCAGACAGTACAGCATACAGGGTCATGTTTGTCCTGTCTGGGCACTGCATTATATTTCTTTACCATAGATCTGCAGTTGCAGACAAATGGAGGGTAGTGTCTTGAATGCAAAATTCTTTAAACCGACCCTCTCCTTTCCTGGTTACTTCCGATTAATAGGTCTGTTCTGGACCATTTTGTTACGAACTCACAGCGTCCTTATTCTGTCTTCGTCCATTTTTTAATCAGGCTGTGTATATACTTTTTATCCTATTTGTTGGCATCTATCCCTAGGCAACCAACATGTATGAAGCTAGGTAATGGGTCGGTGGTTTCTGTTTTACTCTGCTTATACAATCCTACATGGGCAAGCAGTGTTCTTCTCCATTTGTACATGTCGTTTTTGCCTAGGGATATCCAAAACTTTATTGTATATTTACAACCCTCATCCAAGATCTGACAATCTTTTTCCTATGGTGGATGTGAACTGAAATCATTACCAGACCCTCCTTCACCCTATATTTTGTCTTTGCTGGACATGTATACTCAAGTCTTCTTGGTGCAAATTCTTTAATCCGGCTGGGTATTCCTACTGTACCCAGCAATTCGCCCTGTAAGGTTTCGTTGTTCTCAATGTTTCGTTACACACCAGTTGAGCGAGTTTGTGTCCGCGATTTTGCTAGTCTAGAACATCTTGAACAGTTCAAGTGAGACGGGCAGTTTATGGAGTGGTCATGTTTCCAATCTACAGTTAAAGCCATACAGTCTAGGCAGTTATGTGTCATCGCAAGATTGAAACACAGACAAGACGGATAGACTTCCTGCCATAAAACATTGAAGTGAGGCCTCTGGAACCACTTTTCTTTTCATGAGTCTAATTTGCTCTAAATGCTGGGTTAGGGCCGAGCACTCGTTTCTGCTATTGGCTCGTCGATGATGCAGGGCATCATCTGAATGTGTACCAACCGTTATTGTTTCTTGGCCAAGGGTTTGCTGTCATATCTTATTGCAATTTCCTCCAAGTAATGCAAGTATGCATTACCATTGTAGAGGCAGGTTTGCTACCGGCAATGACCACACCCAGGAAGTAAAGATCTGTACTTAGACACCAAAAATGGTTACCATCAATTTTATCAGTAATCCATTTCGGTCAATTATTGTGTTATCATATTGTCTGCATGTCACTTTTATCCCATGTGCTGTTTCTTTGGAGGCCTTCGTGCATCCATTCCTCGGAGCTGGTTTCACATTTTTTGTCATATTCCCTTCCAGGGTCCAGAATTCTTATTCTGGTCTTTGTTCTGGTAGCCTTCTCCACTCTTCAACAACGCAGCAAAAGTCTACGTTAGTCACCAAATAATGAATGGCCTCACAAAATCTGGAACGCTGCAAATACAACCATACAAACATATCCAAATCAGACCTACAAATTATTAAGGTCTCGTGCTTTAGTGTTATTGGCCTACTCAGTAGAGAGGAAAAGTGCCACACAATCCCATTTATCCATTATCTGACAGCTTACGGGACAAGGACTATGAAACCATACAGAAAGTAACTTTTTACTTTCCCTCCCTCGTATTGAAAAAACAATGACACGACTGTTGGGCCATTTAAATGCTTTTGAGACACAGATATCATGTATTTATCAGATTCGGGACTCACCTCCCAATTTCCATCTGAACCGTACGCGGGTCCCAAGCCAGAGGATGGGGGAAGCATCAAGCGTTTCAAACAGTTCAATCGAACATCAAGGGAACCTTCACCAGCACATTCTCACCTGCATATTTGGAATCTGTTATAAGATGTGTGCCGTCGAGGGCGGTTCGGCTCGGGGGGGGGGTGGTTGGCGGGGGGGTGAAAAGGAAAGATACTATAAAGTGGGGGCGTCAGTGGACTCCGTTTCAGTGAGAAATGATAGCTCATTTAGTGTTTGGAGCGAGCGTCTTTAGCCGCCGTAAACTGCAGCGTATGTAACAATATTACTTCCTTTAGAACGGTTATTGCTGCATCTCCGAGAGTTTTATGGCATTTTCATGCCAACACTTACTCCGACGGGAAAGCGCTCGATAAGCGTGTTAGGTTGGCTATAAATCCACAAATTTTTACCCAACGTAGCTAGGACCTTTAAAACAATAAGACACTCTTGTGCAAATCCAGGATCATAAGTAATGGCATGAGTCGAGCGACCCGTAGAAAGTCCAAAGACACAACACTACATCCAGGATCAGCTCTTTTTAAAACCAGAAGAGGGGGGATTCACACTAAAGACCGGCGGTTGTTTCTTGGTGTTATGAACAAAATTGAGATAAAAGGATAGAATGGGGATTGTTGCTTGCCAAACTAAACAATCCTGGAAAGGACAAGGTATGTAATGCATCAATTAAAGCCACGAATCACAGGTATACGATTGTATGACACGAAACAGTCTATGCCGAAGGCTAGCCTTGGCATCACCCCGCAACTGGCTGATTAACGGTGGTGGTTTGAGGATTAACATTGAAGCACACAATGGTATGGCAATCGAGTGATACGACATGCATTCATCTGAATCCCTATGTAATATACAACTACAATATAATAATAATAATTAATCTCAGGCTGGATTTGCATTGCATGCACTAGAGCAGAGACCACGCACCCAGAGCAATGGGCGGCACGTAACAAACGAACCCATACACCATATGACAATGGTATACAACATAATAAAATGCATAAAGATTTGTGGAAATAAATGGGATATATCTCAGATTAGTGTGACGGGCCAAGTACTGGCCATCGGTCATATGAAACGTGCGCTCACGTTTCCCTAA